CCCTTGTCCCTGCCCTCCCTTCCCCCTCCTCCCCTCCCCCTTTACAAACTTAATTTCCATTTTTTCATTTTCTCCTATTTTTTTTTCTTTCCGTTACTACCTTTCTCCTACCCTTCCCACTTTCCCTACACCTTTAGCCCCTTTCTTCCTATTTCACATTGCCAATTATCTCATTAGGATCTTATGTACTATTATAGTTTTCACACCAGAGAAACTATTCGGTATTTACACATGTGTGATGCCTGTCTTACTTTTGTTGTCCAGAATTGCTTTTTATATTCTAGATCTCTTCTGTTTCCAAATGAATTTTAGGATTGTTTTCTCTAGTTCTGTGAGGTATGCTATTAGTATTTTTATTGGGATTGCATTCAATCAGTATAGGAGTTTGGAAGTATGTCCACTGTAACTATTTTCATTCTGCCTATTCAGGAACAAGAGATATTGTCTTTGATCTTTTTCAGAATACTGTAATTTTCAATGTAAAGGTCTTTTACTTCTTTTGTTAGATTGATTCCTAAGTATTTTATTTCTTTTCAAGCCACTGTGAAAGGTGTTGTTTCCTGAATTTCTCTCTGATTGAATTTGTTATTTGTGTAGAGGGATGGTATAAATTTTTGGGTGTTGATTTTGTATCTTGCTATATTGCTCAATTTGATTACTAAATGTAGAAGTCTTTTGGTGGAGTTTTTGGGGTCTTCTATGTAGAGTATCATATCTTCCACAAATAATGATGTTTCTAGGACTGTATTGAATAGGAGTAGTGTTAGTGGGAATCCTTATTCCTGATTCTAGAGTGAAAACTTTCAGTTTTTGATCAGTTAGTTTGTCAGAGATGGCTTTTATCAGTTTGAAATAAAGACCTTCTATTCTAATTTTCTGTATTTTTTAAATTTTCAGAACACAAAAATCTAATACTTCATATTTACATTTTTGAATCTATATTTCACAGTATGAAATTTTGTGCTACTTTATTAACATCTAGCATTTTTTTCTACTTACCTTGTCCCTTACTAATAATTGTAATTTAAGGGGAAAAGAACCTCTGTTTTCCTGGATTACCAGGGAGCTAAAATATTATAATATAAAAATAGTATATTGTAAAAAAGTATTCTTTATTCTTAGATGTAAAAACTGGCATTTATTGAGGGCCTACTGTGTACCAGGTACTTTATGTACATAATGCCATTTAATCTTTACAAAACTCTCTGGAAAGGGGCAATATCCTCATTTATAGTTGAAGAAGATGTGACACTAAAAGGGTAAGTAACTTTCCAAATTCCTCAAAAAATGCTAAAAATCAGGAAGGAACCTGGGTTTCAACTAGAGACCAATCTTTTATTTTACTACATCATATTTCCCACATAATTAATATTGATTTGTTCAGGTGACAGTTCTGCTTCATATACATTTACATCTAAAATGAAGAGTTAGAGTTATATGTGTTTATAAGTAGGGATGTCTTTTTTCATCACAAAACAAAACATAGTAAAGGCTTGTTTTAGCAAGTATATCCAACAGTATGCATTAAAGTATATTTGCCTATGTATCTATTTGGATGTATTTTGTGTGTGTGTATTGGGGGGTGGGTGTGGCTAGGAGTTGAACCCAAGGTCTCACATAGAGTTGACAAATTATCTACCACTGAGGTACACCCAGCCCTGAATTTATGTATGAAAATTTAAAAGGCGATTTGACTTTAAGTCATTGCCAATCTGTATAATTTATGCTATATAACTTCAAACACTTTAATTTACAGAAAGCAAGTGAACAACATCGTCGTTTACTGAAAGGGACACCTTTCAAGTTAAATCTTTATCCAAGGGAATATTTTGACACTAATCCTTATTTCTCTGATAAACCTTTACCTCCAATTAAAATTGAAGAGAAGAAAAAAGTACTTCCAAATCCTTTCAAACCCTCTTCTCCTGGTAAAAAGGTAAGTTAAACATTTTATTTTATTTTTTTAAGGCAAGGTCTCACTATGTATTGCAGGCTGACCTTCACCTCACTCTGTAGCCCAGCCTGGCCTCAAACTTGCAGTGATCCTCCTGCCTTTGCCTCCCAAGTGCTGGGATTACAGGTGTGCACTACCATGCCCAGCTAGAAATTTTAGGATAATAAAATAAGCATTATAAAGAAATACTACCTTTTGCTGTGACATTACTTTATCACCTATTTGAATAATGAACTTTTCTTTGTGTACATGCCAAGAATCATGAAACCCAGTTTTACCAAATTATATAAAGCCATAAAACTAGCTAATATAAGGGATAAAGAGCTAATAATGAAATAGTTACAAATCACTTCAAATGTATTTGAATTTAAAGTAAATTTTTGAAATGACTCTTTGGTCTTGAGGCCTAGGTTTTTTTATTTTTATTTATTTATTTTTTGGTATTGGGGATTGAACTCGGGTCCTTGCACTTGCAAGGCAGGCCACTGAACTGCTGAGCTAAATCCCTGGCCCAGCCTAGGGTTTTTTAAACCATAAAAAACCTAACCATCTGTAATTATTGAAATGGTGACTAAAACTATCTCCCTGCTCCAGAAATTTACAATCACTAAAAATAAAAATAAAAATAAAAATACTCTGACAGTTTAGAAACTTTTCTTTCTTTCTGTGAATTACCCATTCATTTTCTCTGTTGATTTTCTTTTGGGATATTTTGATTTTTCTAATTGACTTGCAAAATCTGTTCACATATTAAGGATACTGTTCTTTTGTCAACTTTATTGAAATGTATTCTTCTAGTCCATTGGATCTTTGACTTTGGTTATGCCATTTTGTGTTATTCAGAAATCTGGTAATTTTATAGTGTCAAATTTATCAATTCTTGTGTTGAAGTTTATATCATTTTTAAAATGGCTTTACTACTAATATCAGAATAATATGCCTTCTTGATTTCTCATATTAGCCTTATACTTTTCCTTTTAAATCTTTAAATGTGTTATACCTTAAAGAGTGAGGTAAGGGTTCAGCTTTCACATTTTTCAAAAGGTAGTTTTGAAGTCATGATGATACTTAGCATGATGGAAATGTTTTGTATCTTGATTGTAGTGGTAGTTTCAAGGATATGTATATATGTGTGTATATAT